GATCAAGGGTCACATGCTGCACTGATTGAGCCAGCCAGTCACTCCTGTAGCTGTGTTTTCATCCTCTTTCCTCTCAGAATTTAGTAGAACTTTTTGAAAGTTTCTGCTACACACACACACACACACACACACACACACACACACACACACACAGAAAAGCAAAAACAAATCATAGGGGCGCCTAGGTGGCTCAGTTGGTTAGGTGTCTCGGCTCAAGTCATGATCTCACAGCTCAGAGAGTTGGAGCCCCGCGTTGGGCTCTGTGCTGACAGCATGGAGCCAGGAGCCGGCTTCAGATTCTGTATCTCCCTCTCTCTCTGTGCCCCTCCCCTGCTCGTGTTCTGTCTCTCTCTATCTCAAAAATAAATAAACATTAAAAAAAATTTAAAAAAAAAGAAAAGCAGGGGCACCTGGGTGGCTTAGTCCATTAAGCGTCTGACTTCGGCTTAGGTCATGATCTCACGGTTCGTGGGTTCGAGCCCTGTGTCGGGCACTATGCTGACAGCTAGCTCAGAGCCTGGAGCCTGTTTCAGATTCTGTATCTCCCTCTCTCTCTGACCCTCCCCTGCTCACGCTGTCTCTCTCTCTCTCTCTCTCTCAAAAATAAATAAAACATTAAAAAAATAAAAAAATAAAAGCAAATCATAAAGAAAGAAAAAAGGTGAAAGCCTCCTATTTCATTCTCTATATTTACTCCATTTTTTATGCATGTACTGAGCATATAAGTTATAATACACTATACCTATAATTCTGCACCTCAGTCTTACCCTTTTCTTTTTTTAAAGTTTATTTATTTAAGCAAACTCTACCCCCAATGTGGGACTCCTCCAACTGAGCCAGCCAGGGTCCCCTACTCTTACCTTTTTCATTTAACAATAGCCCCTCAGCCCTTTTTAGGAAAATCTCTCATCTGGCATTTTCTCCCTAGATATCTTTGTCACAAGCTTGTTTGCCACAGACATTTTTGCCACCTAACTAATTGGACATAAGGCAGTTTTTGCTGGGAAAGATAAAATCATGAAAAATAAAAGAGGGACCTTCCTTAAAAAGGACAGAATGAAACATGAAAAATTAAAAACAGGGCGCCTGGCTTGCTCAGTTGGTTGAGCATCCCACTTCAGCTCAGGTTATAATCTCAGGGTTCATGAGTTTGAGTCCTGTGTCAGGCTCTGCGCTAACAGCTCTGAGCCTGGAGCCTGGTTCAGAGTCTGTGTCTTCCTCTCTCTCTCTGCCTCTCCCCCACTCACACTCTGTCTCTTTCTCAAAAATAAATAAACATTAAAAAAAAAGAAAAATGAAAAACAAAATTAAAAAGGTTTTATTGTAAAATACAAAATATTTGAATACATTTAAAATGTGTGTGGATTCATGGCAATACTGTAATACTGCACAAATAACTGCTTTTATTTTGTGGATTGTACCTAAGCACTTGTCTTCAAAGGTTTTCATTCATAGTATCATACTGCTGCTGCTGCTTTTTTTTTTTTTTTGCTTCTTAATTCCTCTCCTTATTTGGCATCAGACTTTTTAAAAATATTTTATTTTATTTGTTGTTTAAGTGTTCATTTACTTTTGAGAGAGAGAGAGAGAGAAGAGGGGAGAGGCAGAGAGAGAGGGAGACATAAAATCCAAACCAGGCTCCAAGCTATCAGCACAGAGCCTGATGCGGGGCTCGAACCCACAAACTGTGAGATCATGACCTGAGCTGAAGTCAGACACTTAACCGACTGAGCCACCCAGGCACCCAAAGATTTTATTTTTAAGTAGTCAGTACATGCAACGTGGAGCTCAAACTCACAACCCTGAGATCAAGAGTTACATGCTGTATCTACTGAGCCAGCCAGGTGCCCAGCCTGGGCGACTTTTTCTTTTTTCACTAAAATATCTTCCTTCATTAGGAGAGGTGTCAGTCTCTAAATACTATGATGCATATTTTTATTATTATTATTTTGTTGATTTATTCATTTATTTATTTTTGAGAGAGCAAGAGAGACAATGTGACCAGGGGAGGGTCAGAGAGAGAGGGAGACACAGAATCTGAAGCAGGCTCCAGGCTCTGAGCGGTCAGCACAGAGCCCGACGCAGGGCTCAAACCCATGAACTGTGAGATCATGACCTGAGCTGGAGTCTGACGCTTAACTGACTGAGCCACCCAGGTGCCCTAAGGATGCTTATTTGTAACTGAGCTTTCTATTGCATTGTGGAAGTCTCCTATGCAGTTGTAGGGTTTTGGAATATTGTCACATGTCCATTGATTGATATTCCAAAGTTCTCTGGGAAATGTGGGTTCAAAACTGTGCCACTGCATAGACCATTATGATGGCTAAGATTTATACAATATAAAAATAGGAGTACTGAGTCCATGGAGAAATGAAACCAAACTGTCTACCAGTTTGATGAAACCAAACTATAAAATCAAACTGTCAGCCATTTATTTTGCTCTTTTACGGTAAAATTGCCTTAAATCCAATGGGTTATGTGGTGAAAATGTTTGCAGTGGAATTGCTTGCAGCATAGATGCGTAGTCGAAAGTTCCTAGAACCAAAAATCTACCCCATTCCTTTTACAGATTGAGATTCTTGAGGTCAGGACTATCCATTAGCCCTACTTCTGGCCCAGCAGGCAGCACAGGACTGGCCTTGCTGGAGGACAAGTTGAAATATTCACAGTAGCCACCATCTAGTGGCATGCGTGAGGTACGAGGCTCCGAACTAAGCTCTTGCACGTGTTATTGCATTTAATCCTGACAGCCGCTGTATGAGATAGGTACTATTATTATTATTATTATTCCCATCTTTCAGATGAGAGGCTGAGGGGCAGAGGCTTAAAAGCCCAAGTCATGCAACTGGTAAGTGGTGGAGCTGAGATTTGAATCCTAATCTTTTCTGTGCCAAACCTTTTGCTGTGAATGAACTAATAAGTGATTGATGGACTCATGGGTCTTGGGGAGAAAGTTCTGTCTTCAGAACCTCCTCTGTGTGTTCTGGGTTCTCTCTGCGAGTGGCTTGCAGTGCTTGGAATCGGCATCCCCAAATAGGAGGGACTCAGTAAAGGCCCTTTCTTTGCCTGCAGCAATCCTGCAGGCATACTTTTCATGGGAAGTGGCATTTTTAAATTCTCCTCTTCTAAAAATAAGCTGCAATTTGTTAGGGGCCCTTGAAAACCAGCCCAGCATTTCAGGACAGCCATTTGCCTGTCTACAGCTCAGGAAATTAATCAGAACCCCAAAGCCCTTTCCCTTTTCCCACAGGCCAGCGCTCTGGAAACGCCCAGTGCCTTGCTGCAGCTCTCCTCCAGGACTGCAGAGATGCCAAGGGCAGTTGAACACAGATCTATCTGATTGTAAGGGAACGGAGAGCAGAAAGGCACAAGGGAGAAACGGGTCAGCTCTGCTGCAAATAACTTGCAGAGAGAACTCAACTCGAAGCTGTCCCCTACTTGGAGGGGTGCTGACTGACAGACACCTTGGGGCGTCAGATGTAACTCTAACTCCACAGATTCCCCCTGGGGTCTAGAAACTGGAGTGTTGGTCCCTGTTCCAATGGCAATGCTCTGCAGGGCCACTTTTTGTGAGCCTCTTCCTCTCTCAGGACTTCAAACGTCTAACCACTATGAAATGACTGGGTAGATTATCACTAGGGGTGGTATGTGGTGTTCGGAATGGAAATAATTTTGATGATAATAATGAAAATAAGAATGACAACTACATCCTTTCTGGAACACTGTGCCTGGTGCTTTCCACACAGTGTTTTACATAATTTCAGAACAAACACTGCAAGGACTGTATTAATATCCCTATTTTACACAGGAGAATGAGGCTCAAAGAGAGCTAGCATGGGCCAGAACATGGGTATATAACCCCAGGGTTTTCTGGCCCCAACAAACATGTGTAGTTTCTGACCTAAGGGAAGTGAGAGAGTGCTAAGAAACAAACAGGAGGTCAATTTGATACAAATTAAAATGTGTTCATGCCACATGAGAGTTTAACACAATACATAGGTATTTGGGTATTCAGGCAAGGAGAGTTGGCTTCTCTCTGGGGGAAGCTAGGAGGAGCTGTAAGTGGAGATGAGACAGCAAAGGAAGAGCATGAGCAATGGGGTAGATGTGGGAAAGCAGTGGGTGTGCGAGTGGAAGTTTGGATAAACTTTACAGAGTGTATGTCTGTGTGTGTGTATAAAGGTAGGAAGAGACCAGACCAGGCCAGGGCTTTGGTCTTTATTCTGTAGGCAATAAGGAGCTTACACAAGAGATGTCTCAAGAGACCAGCTATGCTGCTGCAGTCAGAGAGGAAGCAGCCTTCAGTGCATCTGTGTCCTGGCTTGTGAATTCAGCCCCGTGCCAGCACGTGGGAAGGCATCTGTGGGGGAGAGTGTGTCCTGTACCGTGTTGGGTGTGGGTTTTGGGCTCCTTTCAAAGGTCCCCCTCCCCATTTCTCTGGGTCCCGGGTGCCTTGCACATAGTAGCTCCATAGTAGGAAATGTGTCGTAGATTATTGGAGGGACTTTTGAGATCATCTGGTCATTACTCCTTCCCATCTTAAGGTGAAAAGTGAGGAACATAGATGGACAAAGACTTTTCTAGGGTCACACAATGAATTAATAGCAGAGCTGGGGCTGGAACCCATGCTTCCATGCCGAGTGCCTTTTCCACAGTTGCTGAGTAATAGAAATAGTATTTGTTGAGTGATTACTCCACACCAGGCCCTGGGCTAAACACCTTTACATGGATTATCTCATTTAATCCTCACAACTCCCCGGGGAATGCCCCTCTTGAAAGCAGGGCGTCTTTTCTTCCACTTCGATTTCCCATCGCGCCTAGCACAGGCCCTGGGCACCTAGCTAGGCAAGCAATGAAAACTTGGCAAAGTCCAAGACCTGGGAAGGGGACGGGGCGAAAAGAAAAGGGGGAGGGACTAAAGGAAGTCCCCGCCCCCAAACCATGCCCCGCCCACAGCACACTGACGTCACCACAGAGGCCCCGCCCCTCATTGTCAGTCCCGGGGAGCCGGAGGAGGCGCCGGACGCCGGGAGCTGAGCGCCGGACCCTTCGGCGGGCGGGAGCGCGGGCCGAGTCCCTGAGGTGAAGGGTCTGTGGGGAGGCGGCGGGCGCGCAGCGCGGGAGGCTGAGGCGAGCGGGTGGGAGCGGGAGAGGGCGGCCGGAGGGGGCGGCCTGCCCCGGCGTGGGGGTCGGGGCACCCAGGGGCGACTGGGCAGAATCGGCGGGCGCACCCCGGGGAGGGCTGTGGGGGTGTGGAGTTGAGGTTGGGGGGCAGTTTGAGCGGAATTTTGGAGAAAGGGCTCGGAAGGGGACTTCTTTTGGGGCGAGACCTTGAGAATTTTTTTGGAGTTGGAAATTTTTCTTTCGGAGGGGGAGGGAAGGTTCTGAGAGACTTCTGGTGGGAGCGAGAATCTGAGGAGAAATGTTTGGGGCAGAGAGCCGAGGGGACATTTTCGGGCGGCGGAGGAGAGTTTCAAGCCGAGTTTGGGCTTCGCGGGGGGAAGGGGGGGAGCGCGCGCGGGACGTGGTGGGGGCGGGGAGCGGCGGGCCGGGCGGGGGGTCGGGACCGCCGGGGAGGGGGCTGCGCGGGGCCCGCGGGCACCCGGGGAGGAAGGAAGTGATCTTACAGGAAGAGCCCGGGAGCTCCCGAGGAGGAGGAGGAGGAGGACGAGGAGGAGGAGGAGGAGGGCGGTTTGGGAGCGCTCGGGCCGGGCTGCGGGGCCGGGCTGCTGGGGCGCGGGCGGGCTGGGGAGGGGTCCCGCCGCTGCCGCAGCTGTCGGCCCGCCGTGCCGGCCCCGCGTCCCGGCCGATGCTGGCCTCGCAGCCAGACCGCTGGGCCGGGAAGGAATTCAAGGCATTCGCTTTGTTTAAGTTGCCAGTAGACAGTCCTTAGGACTAATTAATGGTGGAATCTGCAGGGGGACGCGGGCGAGCCGCGCCGGGGCCGCCCCCCGCCCGCCGCCGCGGTGAACTTTCCGCAGCGCGCGCGGCCCGCCTCCCTGCGCACCCCCGCCCCTGCCCCGGCCGGGAAGGAGCCATGGCTTCCCGAAGCGCAGGAATGAAGTGCGGTTTCTGGGGCGCGCGGCCGCCGGCGTCCCGGAGCGGCCGGGCTGGGGGTTCGGAGCCCGTGTTGGAGCTCTCAGAGGTGCCTGCGGTTTCTCTTAATAACCTCAGAGGCGGCTCTGTGAGCCGAGAAAGACCATCTTGCTCTGGAGCATCTGCTGCTTCGTCGCGTCAGCCCCTTTCCTAACACTGCAGAGCTTGTTGTGGCTTGTTTCGGAAATGCCGAGACCAGTGCTCACGCTTGAGGGTGGGAGAAGGGAAGAGGAGAGGCACCCCCACTCAAAAAAAAAAAAAAAAAAAAAGCTAAAAAAGCCCTGCAGTGTAATCTCCAGAAAACCGGAGACTGCTTGCAGACTCCTTCGCTGACTTGAATGACCTTGGGGAAAGAATTGTGCTTCTGAGCTCCTGGTGCCTTATCTGTTGATTGAGAAGACACTCTCCGGACCTCCCTGCCTTTTGGGGATATTTTGAGAGGTGGGGTTTGTTCAGGGCATTTTTCGGACGGCTGTAGTCCTGGCCTCAGGAGCTGGCCTGGTGTCAGATTTGGGGGAATTCGGATCACCTAGTAAGACTTCATTAGCTCGGATTAGGGAAGCAGACGTTTGGGTTTTAGGAGGATATTTCTTTTCGGGGTACATTCCAGATTATTTTCTGTCACTTCGTGTGCAGCTTTGGTGGCGTTCGCGTGGCCAAGTTAAATAACTCCCATAGAAAATTCTTTTGTCAGAAACAATTATTTAGCTCAGGATTCCCCTTGGGGCAGATTAAGGTTTTGCTTGATTTACTCGGAAGAATTTTCCAAGTTTCTAAAATTAAATCACGTTTCTAAACATAGTAACTAAAGTCAAAAACTGGAAATAGTGGGATGGGGAAGGCAGCAACCAAGGGCTCTCTGTTGTTCTGTGATTGCTAACAGGGATTGTGAGTTACCTTGATTAATAGGTATTTTCTTACTTGTAAATAGTTTAAGACCAGGTAGGGGAACTAGTAATGTTGAGTTGCCTACTCCGTGCCCCGGAATTGTGCTAGGTGCCATATATCTCCTAGAGCCTCCACAAGGCTGCGAGGTGGTAGTGGGCGTCCCTGGTTCACAGATGGGCAAACTGAGGGTCAGAGGGTAAAATGACTTTTCTCAGTTTATAGATACAGCTGGTAAGAAGTGGAGCTGGAATTTAAACCCAAGTCTGTTTCTGAGTTCCATGGTTATCTCCACGAGGCATATATAGTGCATTAGGTTCTAGGCCTTTGGCCCAGCCACTGGGTGACCTTGGACTGTAAATTCAAGTCCATTAAGTCTGTTCCCCAATAACGTTACTTCTTTTCTTCTAGCAGTGTTATCAGCATGCTTTTGAGAGGTTTTCGTTTTTTGGTAGAAAGACAAACATATAAGGCTATGCTAGTTGTGTGTTCTCTATACAGTAGGTACTTAATTTCTTTTTTAAACGGAAGTATTTGTACTGAAATACAGACTGCTTGGGTGATCATATGTTTTCATTAATGTAATGGAAGTTGATGGATAGCTAATGGTCTTTCCGGTGTAGAGGTGTGACTGTTAGGGTGACGTTCATGATCTGAAACTGAACCATTTTTTTTTTTCCAAAAAAGTTTTTAATGTTTTATTTATTTCTGAGAGAGAGATCGCGTGAGCAGGGGAGGGTCAGAGAGAGAGGGAGACATAGAATCCGAAACAGACTCCAGGCTCTGAGCTAGATGTCAGCACAGAGCCTGACACGGGGCTCGAACCCGTGAACCGTGAGATCATGACCTGAGCCGAAGTCGGATGCTTGACCGTTTGAGCCACCCAGGTGCCCCTGAAACTGAACCATTTTTCATGTAACATGATTTTTTGGGACAGTGTCAGCTTGTGAGTAAAGCACGTTACTTAACAGGTAGGAAGGACCCAGATAGGCAAGTTGAAAGATTTGGCGAAACTCTGATGCACGTAATAAATGCTCAGCAGATATTTGCTGAAGAAATGCATGTGTTCGGGGTGTCTGGGTAGTTTAGTTGGTTGAGCTTCCGACTCTTGATTTAGTCTCTGGTCATGATCCCAGTGTTGTGGAATTGAGCCCCACTTTGGGCTCTGCTCTGACTCTGGATCCTGATTAAGATTCTCTCTCCTTCCCTCTGTCCCTCTCTCTTCCTTGTGCTCCTGCTCTTGCTCTCGAAAAGAAAAAAGAAAAATCAGCTTTGTCAAGGTCTAACTTACATACAGTGAAGTTGATCACTTTTAAGTGTACAGTTTGATGAGCTTTGACAAACCTATGCAATTGTGTAATCACCATGACTGCCATCATTTGTTTAAACTGCATGTTGTTTTTAAGGTATTGGTTAGCAGAGTGATCCCTGGGAATGTTGTGGAGTTTCAGTGTTCTGATTCAGACTGATGAGATCAGAGTGAATACTAGAGAGTCAGTATGCCAGCTTCGTAGGAAATAGGGAAACTGTAGTTATTTATCGGTGAGGTGTATGAGAAAAGTAAGACTAGTAGAGATAGGAACCCTTGTATCTCAGGGGAAAGAGATTCATAAGGAACCAGGTTTTCATTTTAGGACAAGAGAATATACGTTGCGGAGGGAGGTTACCCAAAGATTTATTATTTTTATTTCCTTTTTGAAATGGTAACACCTGAAATATAAAACTTAACATCTTTGGCTCTACATAAGAAGTGCTTTATACATTGTAGTTAAAGTAATTCTTAAGGGTGGGGATGTTATAAAATAATTGAAGGCTTTGCCCTTCCACCTATGACAGAATATCCTTAGTGTTTATGTCCAACTTATTTTAGTTACTATTCCACAAAGGGAATACATCAGGTAGAAATTGTGTCTTTTTGGGAAGACATAAAATTATTTTTCCTTCTCATGATTTCTCAGGTCACTGGACCACTCCCAATCTACCGTAGCTCAAGTCTGTCTTAGAAAAGATTTAAAAACCTCTTTTACCAAGCTTCTAGAAGCAGCCCCGTTTTATCTTACTCCTGGTTTCTCTTTATCCGTTTTATTTCTACATGTTGACTGTTCTATAATCCTTCTTTCCCATTTGTCAGTTTTGAGAATGGAAACTCATCAACCATGTGCCCTTGGTGTATCATTAGGAAATAATAATTAAATTAGAATACCAGTCTACAGCTCAATATTTTGGGTGGTGATAGGGAGAAGAAAATAACTCTATCAGTTATTATCCTCCTCTTACATGAGGAAGCTGAGCTCAGAGCAGTTATTGCCAGAGCTAGTAAGGGGCAGAGACCTTTGAACTCAGATGTGAATGGTGCTCAACTTTGGGATCATTTTCATTACACTCTTTGTGTATTAGGGTTGGGGGAGCAAGGGAAGAGCTTGGAAACAACCATATTAAAATATAAGCCAAAACATAACAAGTATTGCTAACCTTTTAGGCATTGCTGTTTTTAGCTATTCCTTTCTTAATTTCTAGAGAGTCTTCCTTGCATTCTAAGGTGTTTATAGCTCATTTTTTTACTGCATAACTCCCTTCCTAGACCCTGAATTTATTCTTTATGAACATGGTACTTTGTATTCACTGGTATTTCATTTACCCCTTTCCCTATGTTACATGTATCTAAAAGTTTCCATCAGGTTAATCTATCAATCATAACCTATTTGGGTGTGCTTCTCTAGTCCCATTTTATCTGAACAGAGTAATATTTTTAAAACATATTATTAAAAACTTGCATTAAGTTTAAAAAAAATCATATCTTGTTATTTAAGTTATATATAACATATATGTATATTTAGAAAAATGCACATAAGTGTACAATTTGATCATTTTTCCCCCCACAAACTGAGTATTTCTATGTAACTAGCACCTAGATCAAGAACTGGCACTCATAGGCCTCTGCTGAGTTTCTTTCCATTTCCTGTCTCCTTTTAACCTCCCTGGGTGACTTCTAACAGTGTATATTAGTTTTGTAAAATGGAATCATATAGCAGATACTCTTGAGTCTGGTTCCTTTTATTCAACAGTATGTTGAATAAACATACTGTTTTTGTGAGTAGCAA